GGAGCCCCACTATGGAGGGCCACCAGACTGGGCATCCCTCTGTCTCCAAGAATGGGCCTGGTCCCTTCCTCCTCCTTCATCTCCCTGGGCTTGAGTTACTCAGAGATGGGAAAGCAGCTTTGGTTTTCCGTATAATTGGGTAATAGGAATGCTTGATTTTGCATTTCAGAGGCCCCCCACCTTGCACCCAGCTAACCTAGACTTGCTGCTCATTGCTCCTTGGGGTAGCTGCAAGGCCATGGTCATGCCCATGGGGAGGGTGGCATGCCCCAGGCCTGATGGGCTAGGGCAGGCTCCGAGGTGGCTGTCACTGGGTCTGACCTGCAGGCAAAATCTGATCTGCCTCTCCTCCACGGCAGGAGTTAGCCAAGTTCCAAGAGCTTATCTTTGAGGACTTTGCCAGCTTTATCCTTGTGGAGAACACTTACGAGGAGGTCGTGCTGCAGTCGGTCATGAAAGACATCATGCAAGGTAGAGTGCTGCGGCTCCGCGCTGGTGGGCAGGCCCGCACCTGGGCTTCATGGGTGATGGAGAAGCTGCTCCGTGTTTTGGAGCCCAGGTAGCTCTGCATTTAGCAGCACCTGGAGCTTCTGGAGGGCCCCGTGGGCTCCTCCAGACTGACACGTCTCTGCGTTCTGTTCCAGCTGTGAAGGAGGCAGCAGTGCAGAGAAAGCACAACCTCTACCGCGACAGCATGGTGATGCACAACAGCGACCCCAACCTGCACCTGCTCGGCGAGGGCATCCCCATCGACTGGGGAGAGGAGCTCGGCGGCCAGCCCGACGCCGAGCCCGCGCCCGACAAGCGCCGCCGGGCCAAGCAGGTGGTGTCGGTCATCCAAGACGACGAGGGGGCCCTGCCTTACGAGGCAGGCGCCGAGGCGCTGACGCAGCACGAGGAGCATGAGCCACAGGAGCTGGTGCCTCCGGTGGTGCCGGGCTCACCTGGGAGCGTGCAGGAGATCCGGGAAATGCTGCAAAAGGAGGTTCTTGAGGAACCTGCAGGCCTTGCGGAGGCAGAGGCGGAGGAGCGGCTGGCAAACGGTACCGTCATCACCCAGGAGAGCAGTGCCACTGAGGGAGGGCCGCAAGAAGCCACCTGTGCAGCAGGCTCTGCCCCGTGCGACACCGTCCCCCAGGGCCCGGCCAGCACAGGGACCCTTGCGCGGTCCCCACCAGTGGAGCAGCAGGTCGACCCGGAGTGCCCCAAGCCCAGCGACAAGGAGACAGGGGAGGAGGTGTCGGCGGCGTGCAGCGAGGGCAGCGCGGCGCCGCCCGCGGTGGGCACGACGGAGCGCGGCGAGGCGGTGCAGACTGAGTTCTAGCCCCGCCGCCCCCGTGCGGGCACATCCCGGGGCACACGGGCGGACTGGCCTCGGGGACGCCGGGGGCTTGGGGGG